TTTACTTGGTTATAGTGTAGTGAGAAGACAAAGGACAAGAAATCGAATCGTATGTACATTGTAGATACGAGTAGAAACAGAGTTTCGATGAATTTCCTGAGATAACTTTGTTAGGGGGACTTTCATTTCGTAGGAAAGTGCATGAAGACGAGATTCGTAGGTCGATCTAACCAGGAGAGGGCGAATAAATCATGTTGTACTGCAGCCGTTTGGCTTCAAAACGACCTTCAGGTTGATTAAGTCCACGAGTCATCCTCCCTCTTTTCAGGTGAAAACGGGCTGAACTTTCGCCCATCATTCGAATCTCTTCTTCATACACTTTCATATAAAATGAAAGTCCCCCTAACAATGTTATCTCGGGAGATTCATCGAAATCCAGTTTCTCTCCGTATCTACAAGCATAAGTAGTTCCTACTTAAATGAGACTATATAAGAGGCTAAATAGAGCCGGATAGTCTTCTCACCCTAGTGTTAGCACGAGACTTTTACAGGAATGAGACCCAGCTCAGATGATGTCCGTCATATGATGAACGAAAGCTCAGCCCGTTTTCACCAGAAAAGAGGGAGGATGTCTCGTGGACTGCGCCAACCTGAACGTCGCTTTGAAACCAAACAGCTTTAATACAATGTGATTCATCCGCCCTCTTCTGGTGAGATCGACCTTCGAAACTCTTCTTCATACACTTTCATACGAAATGAAAGTCCATCCAATAATGGTATTCAAGATAGGCGGAAAACTTGAGCATGCTTTTCTTCTTCCCATGATGGAACAGAAGAAAATCAACATGAACACTCTTATTATGTGTTGTTAAAAGATTTATTGTTAAAATTGGCTAGGAAAGATGTAAAAATTATGCAAGCCATTGTGGATCGTTATGAAATTTCAATAAAAATGAGTGCTGAGTGGTATCTAGTCTAGATGAGAGAATTAAAAGGAAAAAAAAGTTCAAAAACAACCCATCTTAGTTCATCGCGAAATCAACCCCTGACCGCACAAGGCGACTATCTGTGTACCTTAATTTATAAACTAGATCAATACACTATTAGCAAGCATGCATAAAAAAATAATAATCCAAAATTTCATAGTAATGTTTAGAAACTAAACAAAAGGGGACTGAAGACGACTAAATAAGCCTCAAGAAATAAGTTTCAATAGTTTTAGTTTTCTCCCCAGAGGCTTACACCCGAATGTGAAAACTTAGTCGCCACAGCACCTTCAATATATGAGCCGAATAATAAATTAAAGGAAATTTGAAGCAGAAAACGGAAGTCGACGCTATGGGAAGGATAAAGACTAGCTTTCGTACAACTAAATGCAACCAATTACCTGTCTTTTTTCAGCTGTGAACTGGTCCAGTATTTGCTTCAAATGTCCAATTGGAGCCTGAGAGGTATCTCCAGCTTGATTAACAGGTTTCGAAATATCAGACAACCATAGGATACGACCACCGTTATGAAGAACATAATCAACATGCTCAGAGGCACACTGGTGGCCTTGGGAAGCGAACTCGACAAGACAAAGATCCTGAAGTAAATATATAGTAAATAAATAAATTTAAAAAATATATATTTATATACATGTATATACATGACTTATTTGGTGTGAAAATGATGTAGATATAACAGTATTTAGCAAAAAGCGAGTTCGAATCCCGGTGAGAGCGAGGTTGAATCTGCAGTCCAGCCTGGGTGAGCTAACCTTTCAGGAGCAATGGCTAAATGAGGCCTACTCATTCGATATTTGGAGAATTCCATTAACAGTACTTAAATAGCCTTAAGCGACCTAAGTTGACTAAGATCGACCAAAATACACTATTTTGCGCAAACCTTCTAATAAAGAAAGAGTTAAATGAATAAAAAAAAGGAAATCCAGGCGAAATACCGTGACCCAAAGGATTAACAAAACATAAAGTCAACATAATAAAATTAGTCCGATATGAGCCTACCTCAGGAAGATTAATCAAGGCTTACCGTCAAATTTAAATAAAGATTAAACAAAACATAATAGATCAGAAACTAGAATATACACAGAATATGACACCTAAGGAACTTGATCAAGAAATGGAAAAGAGCATGCATAAGAACAAAATATGAAGACTGATAATTTTGATGCCCTAAAATGACCGATAAACGACTTAATAAACAAGTCTTTTTCATCGATAATCTTATTAAAATGTGCCATTAGAGGCCTGGGTTGTCGTGAAAGTTGTGCCTGCCCTGTGGCCCACTGGCACTCATAGCTGTGTGGCATAGTGGTAACGTGTGGTCAGTTTACTTTAAAACTTAAAAAAGGAATAACTAATTTTTTTCCTTAAGAATCGCTTGCATGGTATCAGGCAAATTTAGAGGCATGAGTGTAATCAACCAATTTTGCATGGTCTAAAGGAAATAAATTGTAAATCAAAATGGTGCTTATATACTCAGCATTCAAGTTGAATGCATCGGTGAATATGTCAACAAAAAATCTTAGCTTAATTTTTTACGAAAATAGAAGAGATTCTATCCCGGAAACCTTGGCCGGATTTTCATAAAAGAAGCAGGCAGTGAAAAATATACATCTATCTCTGGCAAAGAATGAGGAGGCATAGAAGCAATTTCTACAATATTTTTATGCTACAATGAGGATGAAGTCAATACATCTTTAATCTTAAATATATATTATTATAACTTTCATGCTATTCTGCTGTAAATAGTGCGTCTGAAGTAATTTTTTAGAAAGAAGTTATGCTTTCAAAGTTCAAGCATAGACTTCAAGAATATACTTCAAATAGGTCTAGATAAATAAGTAATAAATTGTGACAGTGAAGGGGTGATACGAGGATATAGGAAAGGTCAATAGCCCAGGACAGGAGAGAAACCACAACTGTTTAGCAGACAATTGGTCAAAGGATCGACTTCACTTGCCTTTTTGACGAGTTGTAGTGTGGTGCTAAAAATGGCAAGGCTCTCTGACGATGCCGGCGAAACTTCTGGTTATGTACCAAATCCACGATCCGACTTGAAATTATCATGCATATTATGGACTCCGGTCAAGGTGCGTTCCTCCAGGTCTCCCTGACAATATGACCAAGTTGCGAAAACAAGGTCAAACAACTTATATTCAAGCACACATTTTACAAAAAGTTTGCAAATCACTTCATCAACATAAATCAATTATACATTTATAGTCCTTGTTTATGCAATATCAATTAGAAATTAGTCAAAATTTTACTTTGCTGAATAATTGTGTACGAAACTCTCCCCACATGATTATAAAATATATATTCGTGTGAGAGAAGGGTTTCGAGGCTACCAGTAAATCACTGTAATGAGATGTATTCACCCTATTTCGTCTAAGGTGATGAAGGACTGGTAGTAGAATTTTGCCACAATGATATGAGTTCCATTAATTCAATTGAAACGTCAGCTCAACTCATATCATTGTGGGAAAATTCTACTACCAGTCCTTCATCACCTTAGGGTAAATACATCTCAAAATATATAGTTTTCATTAGATACAGTGCACTTTCTGAGCA